ACCAAGGGCTGGGCGGCTCAAAATCAAAGCGCGTTTCATCTAAGTTCCCTTCTCCTCTAAAGAAAACAAGTCTTAAATTAAGCTCCTTACCGAGGTCTGAGGCCAAGGCTCCTTATTTAAAACCGAGTAGGAAAATTTCCCTTGTGAACCAAAATATAATTCTCTATTTTCTAATAACTTTAATGCTTTGTAAGTCAGAGATTTCTTTTGAGCGGAGACAATACTAAAAAGAGCCCCAAACAGCCCTAAATTTGGATCCAATTGGAAATCCCCAATAATCAACGGTGAATCTTCTACATCAAGCATAGAGGCCAAGCGTGGCCCAGGTGACTCAGAAAAGAAGCCTCAGTCTGTCCATTCATAGCCTCATGACTTCAGGTCAGATTTTGGGGGGATATAAAGAACATATCCTCAAGAAGCTGGAAGCCCACCAAGGGGAGGTCGGTCTTCAAGATCAAGTTGATGCCGGCACCACCACCCAATCCCCAGATTTTCCAGGGCACCCTGATGCACCCGCTGTGAATTCACCCACCGCCAAGCAGTGGATGAGAAAGAGGTAATTACGGAGCTGGACTTTCATGGAGTATTACAGCTCAGAGAAAGCGGAGAGGTCTGTGATTTTCAAGCTAAGCTTAGCAACAGGATGCTTCCTAACCGCCCCCACCCCCCCCCCAAAGAAAATCTTTGCTAGAAATCTAATATATGCTATTGATAAAACAGAAACTGCTCTGGCTGATGCAGGAGGCGAGAACGATCTGTAGTCTTCCCACTTGGCTCTCCCTCCCCTCCCGAGCTGGCCATTTGAAAAGACTCGAGGGCTCTGAAGAATGGGCTTATATTTACTCCTCAAGTCCCAACACCTGCAGTTTGCAGAGCAGGGTGGGGGGGAGACTCAACCGGTTCAAACTGCCATGTCTATGGCTACCAGCTGTGAGAGTGAGTTTAGGGAATTATAAGCTCTCTGGACTCTGTTTCCTCAGGGTACGGCGAGAAAATATTTACCTCCGACCCTCAACAGTGAGCATTTAAGACAATGCATGTATAAGAAGTTTTTAAGATGATGCATGTATAACAAGTCCTCAACGAATGGTTAACTGCTGCTAATTTTAAAGGGTTTGCCTCAGGGCACATAACTAGTTACCAGCTTAAGTGGGGGATCATTGACCCCAGACCTTATGCATTCCCTCCTCAGGCTCACAGATCCCTTTCACCCACTCACTCTTCTTCCACATTGTGTTCACTCAGTTTGTGTCCCTTTAGTTAGGGAACTTGTCCTAAAACCAAAACCAAAAACCCAAGGCACTTAAAATGGACAGCAGGAAGGAAGAATAACGTACATTGAAGTAACTACCGGAAGGAGGGGCACCTGGGTGGCTCAGTCGGTTGTGTGTCTGACTTCCCTTCAGGTCGCAATCTGTTTGTGAGTTAGAGCCCCGTGTCAGGCTCTGTGGTGATAGCTCAGAGTCTGGAGCCTGCTTGGGATTCTGTCTCTCTCTCTCTCTCTCTCTCTACTTCTCCCCCACTCAACGTTCTGTCTCTCTCTCTCTCTCAAAAATAAACATTAAAAAAAAATTTTTTTTTAAAAGAAGTAACTATTGGAAAGAATGTCATCCCGGCATGGAGAAAGAAAGTTGTCCACAAACGCTCTGTCTACTTCATTTGTAAGGACCTTTCCTTGGTATTCTCATCAGCAAACCTCCACCTCATGCCAAATCCCTCTCAGTTGATGGCAAGCAATTCTCCTGTCACCCTAACAGAATTTCTCCAAGGTCCCCATCGGTAACTTCTTTCTGTGATGTCATCTTTCCATCAGTGGCAGCTGCTGTTCCAAATCCTGTCTGTCCCCACCGACTAAGGAGCCAAGGATCCAGCCTTACCCACACGTCACAAACCACACACCAGAGCTCTGGAGGTGCCTTACCCGTCTACATGTGCTAACCTCCTGCAAATACACCGACTGGGCTGCTTTCCCTGCCTGCAAGTCCAAATGCAGCCAATTTGAAGAAGCCACATATACAGTAAGCCACACCAGAACCTCGCTACCCAAGTGCAGAGTAAAATGCTTCATGAACCTTGACCGACCCCGAGGTATAGAGCTGGGATTGTGTCCATGGGGACTTCTAAAGAAAATATAATGCACTAGAACTGGAACAATTTTAAAATTACTTCCATCCCTTCATATTACTTTATTTGTAAAAATTTAACTAAATCTGCTCAGCAACCGCATTCAATCCACAGGAACCTGACAAATTATAGAAGCTGCCGATGCTGACTTTGCCTTCTAGTTTCAAACGGTGATTCTATTACAAAAGACAACAAAAGCAAAGCTTAGAGCACAGCTGTGACTTCTCAGGCTCTACAGGGTGATTCATCACTGTCAATTAGTATTTAGCTTATCAAATACAGAATTCAAGATCTCTGTGACTTGTGAGTGTAAGTGAGTAGATAAGTAATGGGTGGAGAAGCAGGAAAAGCTTGCAAATTGAGGAAATAATTATGTTTTTGACTGAGAAATCAATGACTGTTTTGTACCCAAATATTAAATGTGATGCAATTAAGAAGGTAATGGCACAGGTTCTCTGTGTTTTCAGGTACCAGCCTTTTCAAATATCTGACTGTAAATGGAGAATTTCTGCAATTAGGCTTGTAATATATTATTTTTTAGTGTAAATAAGCAATTGTTTATACTACATTAAAACACGTACATTAAAACTTCACCCCCGCTAGTGAAAGAAGCATACCTAAGGGGAAGGGAGTCATTTCACCCCTCCCCCAACTATCATACACCCAGAGGAAAGATTTCGTTTCCAATCATGTATTTCTAATTCATTCCGTGAGATGAAAGTATGCTCCTTTGAGCATCCAGGGAGATTTGCCAATTGCCTTCCAATGGCAATTTCTAGTTTTCCACTAGAATATTCTTTCCTTACTTTAACACATCTGATTAAAGAAGTTCAATTGCTAATTAACCAACAGACTTTCTCTAGTAGCAAAAAGCTTCATGTAATTCTAGTCACCAGTGAAATGCTACTGGATTATCCATTAGGATGGATAACACACACACACACACACACACACACACACACACACACACACACACACAAGCCTGCACACAAGCATACATGCACATTACACACGGTGCAAACTTGAAAGTCACCTCAAATCTTTAAAAAATTTCAAAACTGGCCTAAGTAATATATTTCTTACTAAGCATAGTTAAATGGGACACTGGCAAAAAAGGTTATTTATTCCCTGTAATTCAATCTTCCCGGAAATTATGAGCTACTGATTAGTGCAAGGGACACTTTGCTAGGGGCATGATTCAGAAATTATGAAAAAATTTTCTCTGCATATTATGGTAATTTAATTTCCTTTTCCCTACTTTGAAAGAAAATTATAATTACCAACCTTTATTCACAACACTTGGTTAAGGGCATTTCCATTTCATTTTGTATCACCATAAGCCAAAAAAGAATTTTTTTGATGAGTTTAAAAATACCACAGGGGATTAGGCTGTAAGTCATCAGTGCTTTCTGGCACAGACACAAATAATTTATCGTCTGAAACCTAGTAGGATAGTTTTGATTCACACATGGAAATCTTATTAGCCCATGATGGTCAAATTATTAAAAATAGTGTGTGTATAAGAATTTTCACAAATATTTGAAGCTGAGAATGTATATGCAATATTAAAACATACACATGCAATATAGAGACAGAGATTAACATTAACATTACTGAAAGACATTTGGATTGATCACAAAGACATTTCATCCATTATATAAAGATTACGCTCTTTTTAAACGTGAATTTATAAGGTTTTCTTCATGGATACAGTTCTGACTTAATGGTGCTTTAATAATTCTCTCCTTGCCCTCAAATAAGATAAAAAATGCACCACTAATAACCCCTTACCTTTGAACCTTAACAAGCTAAAAGACAGGGAGGGAAGAAAGGAAGGAAAGCAGGAAGGAAGGAAGGAAGGATGGAGGGAAAAAGAGGAAGATGGGAGGGATGGTGGGAGGGAGACTAAGTCTTTCTCAACTCCAATAACTAACTCCTACCACTGAGTAGAATTACGTTGCAACGCAATTCCTTCACATACTCATAAACAGTATTTCACAGCAGAGTTTGTAGTTACTTTATCCCTGGCATGTTAGAAAACATAGAAGAAAATTTTTCAAAATGTAATTACTGTCCATATCTGTTTATCACAATGATTATCAACTTCTCAACTTATCCCCAGATTGAGTGGATTTTGTTACTAATAGCAAAGCCTTTAAAAGCCCCAAATTAGCCATCGGGCTGAGGCTGAGGGTGGGGCTTAGCTTGGGAGAAAGACAAAGTAGCCAACTATAGTTGGGCTGGCTATAAGGAATGCCAATTGGATCTACAGTGGGTTAACGGGGGGAATGGAACTGCGAACAGTTAACAAATTACAAAGCAACATACAAACATTGTTATTATTAGTGGTAATGATTAATGATAATAATAACAATAATTACAATATTTTCAATATTATTTTGATCCACATACCCAAAATGCAACTACACAGAATGGAAATCAACAAATTAGGAGTTCACTACAGGTGTGCTTTGCATAACAGCTTTGGATAAGGAAAACCATCACCTCCAAAATTCTACCCTATGGAATGTGCCAGATGGCTCAATGGAGCCTCAGCAATTTTTGTTCTTGGAGTAGAGAATCAAGCTGACTACATGTTTTTCTCAAGTTTGGAATTTTGCATTTATTTCAAAACCTTAAAGAAATTCTACTCTCTTTTCCCTCAGTATTGACCAATACCGCTTTAAGCCATTTTAATTTCACTGTAATAGAGAAATTCAGCTAAAATTTTATGTAACTTATTCAACATTATTCCTCGAAAAAGACTGAGACTTCAAAGGATGTGTAAATCTGTACATTCATTCAGTGGTCTCAAACACATGCATTAAATGAAATCGGTACCAAAACATGGTTATTGGGACTAAGTTTGATGTTACCTCTGGTACTCCTAATTTTCGACAGGCTTCCAAAAAGTTTTCCACATTTCTTCTGCATTTGGCCATGCTAAGTTTGGGCTATAAATGCAAATATGGAGAAATAATTAATTATTAAAAGAGAAATGATTTTTCATAACAGGTTAAATTTTAACCTTTCTAAATGGCACAAGTAACACATGTTCATTGAAGGGAAAAAATACCTAAGCAAATAGAAGACAATAAAAATCATCTAGAAACATCCACCTAGAGATGAGAACTATTAATATTTTGGATTATATTCTTCCAGACATTGTGTATGTGTATATGCATGTGTGAAAAGATACACAGAAACACACGTATACACATAGATGTTTATATAAGCAGGACTTCTACATGTGTATATACATGTGTATATATATGTGTATAAATGCAAATTTCTGCATATGCATGTATGTGTATATACATATGTATACTCATAAACAGTATTTATATATATGTATATGTATATACACATACATGCATACTTACAATTTTTATGGGATCATACTCTTGCATAATCTGCTTTCGTTCATCTATTAATATACCATAAGCATCACCTATTCCCAACAGCAATATATTTCTAAAAGAAGGGTTAGATTCAGCAGGCCAATTAATCTCCTTCCTGCCAAAGCAATGGGTTTGATGAGAAAGAGGCAACAGAAGTAAACAGCATAAAAATGGTGGCCTGTTTAGGATTTAAGCAATGGCCTCTCACAGTTGAGTTGACTGTGGTTACAGATGGCCTCTAAGGTGTGGGATGGAAAACAGGTACATCTGATTCACACAGTTTGATTTTTACATGGTAAGTTTAAAAGCTTCACTGTTAAATTTTAATATTCTCCTCTTAGTTCCCTTAAAAAAGGAGCAAGAAGAATGACTGAATCCAACAGTCTGGGTGTGGAAGCAATATTTTATAAGGACTGATTTTGCCCTGTGAAAAGTAAGTGAGAGTGAGGTGACTCTTAGCCCATCTTAGAGGGTCCATGCCACTCAGCACAAAAATCTCTTTGCACATTATTTACTTTTTAAAAAGGGACTCCTTATCCTCCCCCCACCCCCGCCCCCGGAAAAAGGGAAAAAGAAAACCTGCTGGCATGGAACCATTTAATTTGGAGGCTAAACAAGCATTCTCCACCTTGGCTAGAGAGGAAATGGTACCCCTTAACGTGAGACTTGCAAAGATGGGGCAGGAAGCTGCTTCGGTGGTTTTGCTCACTCCCAGGCATGTCTTAGGACAAGGCCACCACGTTAACCCTTATGCAAAGGGAAGGAACAGACTTAGGTAATGTGACACGAGGTTACCAGAAGACTAGGAGCTGGCCCAGCTGACAGGGCACCAAGAGGCATTTCACCATTTGAGACCTGAGTATTTGTCTCTCCAACCCTCCAGGCCCTCATCGTCCTCTGTGCACTTAGGATTTTGTGGGGCTCTTTTCTGAAACTCCAAAGACGCCCAACACCATTCAAAATATTTAGGTCAGCCCAGCAAAGTCAACGCAAGAATATTTCCCATCTTTGGAATTGAAGGAGGGCCCATTCTACTATTGTCGTCTGGGTTTAGTTAGAAAAGCACTTACTACAAATAAAATAGTCAGAGGTTCGACCCCGTCAATGGTCAAAGAATCAAAATTACACCTGCTTGGCATAAAAAAAATGGACACTATTAGTTTTGTGAATGAAAAGTTAGAATGCTTGATATTGACAATAACGTGGGCAGAAAAGGCATCCATTCTGTTGGTGCAGATATGATGGCACATACTGTGTGTTTCCCATGTGTCAGATACTCCACCAGCTGTGAAGTATGCACCCGTGGAAGCGAAACACACAATTCTCAGGGTCACTTACCTCTAGTCTAGTTGGAAATATTAGTAAGCTGCAGGAAATTATAGTTTAGTATGGTAGAGGTCTGAGTTGTGAGACTATTAGGAGAAAAAAAAACATAAGGAACGGAACCTAACTCAGTTCTAAGGGCTCAAGAATGGCTTGCCTCCTGTAGACGCTGAGGGACAGGAGCAATGGGAGCCAGTGAGGCTGCAAGATGAGGACATTTGGAGAGAAGGTTGGGGGAGCCTTCTAGTTTAGAGGGAAGAGCCCGCGTAAACACAGGAGAGAGGGTGGGGGGAGCCTTCTAGTTTAGAGGGAAGAGCCCGCGTAAACACTGGAGTAGACAATGATAGCCCAGACTAGGACCAAAAGCAGGTTCCACAGCTGCAGCACAGCTGGTGGGCTGATCAAAGGGGGCTCCAAGAACCTCCCCAAAGAATTTTAGGTAAGTGGACATTTGGAAACAGCCCATATTTCTAAAAAGGAAAACTACACTATGATAATGCAAGCTAAAATACATTACAGTTATTAAAGTGGATATTTATGAAGAATTTTTGTGACATGAGGAAAATCTAGGTTTTGATACATTTTAAACACTACTAAATAGTATACATAAGTAGCCCATCATTCAATAAAAGACCTTAAACGCAGAAAGGATGCTAGCAGTTAGTAGAGAGGCCAAAATGCTAGCAGTGGTTGTCTTTGGCTCATGGAAAAAAGGTTGATATTATTTTTTCCTCTGCATTTCTCTATTTTCTCTAGTTGGGCATTATTTCCCATTATTTCTTCAATTAAAAAAATATTTAAAAAAGAAAACAGGTTGACAACCAAAAGATTTTTAAAGGAGTGCATCATTTTTCCTGAAGGATTAACAAAATATAAAAATGCTTAGACACATGACTCATATTCACTGTGAATAATATAACTAATTGTACATTCAAACTGGAGGCTATGAGGAGTCAGTTTCTCTCTTATAAAAAAATTGGGGGGGGGGGCACCTGGGTGGCTTGGTCGGTTAAGCGTCCGACTTCGGCTCAGGTCATGATCTCACGATCTGTGAGATCGAGCCCCGCGTCGGGCTCTGGGCTGACAGCTCAGAGCCTGGAGCCTGTTTCGGATTCTGTGTCTCCCTCTCTCTCTGCCCCTCCCCTGTTCATGCTCTGTCTCTCTCTGTCTCAAAAATAAATAAACGTTAAAAAAAAATTTTTTTTAAAAATTGGGAAAAACTGTTAAATGTGAATTTCGCACATGGCTCACACAACTTTATAGCCATTTGGGCCTCACTTGTAGAAAATACTGGAAAGTTTCATAGCAGATTATAGGACAGAATTTGCTCCCCAAACTAAGGCAAGCTAGGCACAGATTTGAAGAGACAGATTGATCATTTTCCTCTAATTTCTGAGGCAAAAAAAAAGGGGTAAAACTTTTCCATGAAAAATATGTTCAATAGTATAGAAAGGAAGCTGACAGTTGGAGTAGATTCATTAGCTAATCTCTCCTGCTGCCGAAAGAAAAGCATCAATAATGTCATTTTAACCTTGGGGTGGGGGGGGGGAGGGAGAAAAACACTCATTATGTGATATTTTATGTGCCTTGCAATTAGGGGTTCTGAATGTTGAAACCTGTTCTATAAACACTAATGACATCAATGGCTTACATTCGTGCATGTATCACATGCGGGAGCCTTATTTTATCCTCAGAAGAACATGTCCAAGAACAAATCAAGTTAAAGAGAGGTCAGATACCTACCCAACGTCACACGGCTTATAGGCAGAGCTAGAGTTTGAGCCCAAACGCTGCCTGCAGAGCTCCAAAACTCTCCCCACCTCTCCTAATGAACAGTGGAGAGTGTGGATAGACATTTTTCTTTTTTTCCTACTTGCCTGAACCTGATATAGGACTCCAAAGACAAGCTTATCTCTGGTTCCCCCACCCTCATCTGAATGACCAAAGAAGTGACTCTGTAACCCTCTTCAGGAGGGAAACGTGCTCTGTGATCCACAGGAAGAGGTTTCTGTATGCAGCTTTACCTCCCTGCAGTGGAGCAGCGCATTTTGAGGGTGTTGGTGGAGTTTCACTCAGTCAGTCAGTCTTTTCTCATTATTGCCCCAGGACCTCCAGTGTACCCCACCTGAGCAAAGTGAGGCACCAAGGAATTGCTGAATTAATGCCCGGCTGACCAAACTCTGGCTGGAGAGGTTACTGATGTCATTATATACAGAATCCATGTCTTTTCAGAGTCATCCTAAAAGCCTCAGTGATTGAGAAAGAGATCCCATTTAGATGAGAAGCTACCGGGGCGCCTGGGTGGCTCAGTCAGTTGAGCGTCCGACTTCGGCTCAGGTCATGATCTCACGGTTCGGGGGATCGACCCCCACGTCGGGCTCTGCGCTGACAGCTCAGAGCCCGGAACCTGCTTCAGATTCTGCATCTCCCTCTCTCTCTGCCCCTCGCCCACTCGCGCTCTGTCTCCCTCTGTCTCAAAAATAAACAAACATTAAAAAAAAATTAAAAAAATAAAAAAAAAAAGAAGAGAAGCTACCTACCAGAAGAGCTTTCTGGAAAGACTTCTCACTCTTTAAATCACAACTCATCTTTAACGAGCAACACCGTCCCCCCAAAGTGTGTGTCTTATGTAAAAGTTAGTCTCCCTTTATCTGGTGTTACTTACAACTGCTGGTGACGGGACATGGATGCTTGCGACGGAGCGCGGGCGGATGTGATTGACCAGGTGACAGAGGACCACGCCATCCATGAGTGCGGCCCCCAGGTCTTCATGCAGGCTGACCTTGAGTCTCATCTCGATGCTCTGTGGGGGGAATCAGAAGGAAGCCAGCTGTTACCAGGCAACTGACGGTAAGAAACAGCTACGGGTATTTATCAATTGAGACCCTAACTTCGTTATGGGGAAGAAGAATAGGAAGATTTGGAAAACACTGACATTATTTGAACCTTTTCCGAAAGATATTACAGTAAAAATTCCACTGTAGAAAACCAAATTCAGCCACACCTACAAGTTTTAATAAGTTGAGTGAAAGGAATAATGGAATTACTTCTTGAGTTCAATGTTGCCAGAGCCTTGGCTATGAAAATAGAAAACCAGAATGAGGCGACCGACAGAAACCAGGCCCAGCTGGTTCTGATGGCCTTCGAGGGGCAGACGAGGGATTGAAGGATGCTTTTCTCTCATATTATGGTTTTTTTTTAATTTTTTTTTTAACATTTATTTATTTTTGAGACAGAGAGAGAGACAGAGCATGAACGGGGGAGGGTCAGAGAGAGAGAGAGGGAGACACAGAATCTGAAACAGGCTCCAGGCTCCGAGCTGTCAGCCCAGAGCCTGACGTGGGGCTCGAACCCACGAACCGTGAGATCATGACCTGAGCCGAAGTCAGACGCTTCACCGACTGAGCCACCCAGGCGCCCCTCTCACACTATGTTTTAACCGAGAAATCCATTTTTATCCCTTTAACAAAACTGAACTTTTTATCTTCAGAAATTATAAATCCATACTCCATTACAAGAAATATTAGAGAGACTCCGTGTGCCTTTTACCTAGTTTCCCCCAAAGGTAACAACTTGCAAAAGTACAGCAGAGTATCACAGCCAGGATCCTGACACTTACATGGCTAAGACACACGACACTCACGTTTGCCCTCTGACAGCCAAACCCCCTCACTCCCACCCCGAGGACCTCTTCAGCCCTGCTCTCTCTCTCTTCCTTCAAAGCTCCCATGCCGTGAATACTGATTGTTTGCTAGAGTCCTACAGGTCCCTTTCTACGGTGCTTCAAAGTCGATTTTTCGAAAATACAGAATGCTGCCTCCACCCTGAAGGCGCTTATTCGGTTATATACGATCTCTTGGGTACCTCGCGGAGATGTTCGACCAATTCCTTCTCTTCTCTCATCTGCTCCATTTTCCTCCGAATTGTAAACTGTGGGTCTATAGATTCCAAATTTCTCTGAGGTCTCAGAAACACTGTAAGAGAGAGGAAAAAAACAAAAACCTTTATTAAGAGTGCCTACCACAGGCTGCCATACAGGACTACGCACAGTTAAGCTAAACAAATAGTTTACCCCTAAATAGCACACTAACCACTCATGGAAGCAAATTCAGACTTCACACACAAAGCTTGGTTTGACTATTCTAAGGGATTATATTTTCTTTTCTTTTCTTTTCTTTTTTAAATGTTCATTTATTTTTGAGAGTTAGAGTGCGAGCCGGGGACGAGCAGAGAGAGAGAGGGAGACACAGAATCCGAAGCAGGCTCCAGGCTCTGAGGTGTCAGCACAGAGCCAGACGCGGGGCTCAAACTCACAAACTGTGAGATCATAACCTGAATAGAAGTCGGGCGCTTACCCGACTGAGCCACCCAGGCGCCCCCAAGGATTATATCTTCAATTGTAGTGAGTTATGCGGAGTAACAGAAGCTATATTTTTGGTGACAACAAAGTGAATCCAGGGAAGGATTCAGGGACCCAGGGAAGGGTCTGGGTCATCCTTGGAACCATGCCAGGCCATATGCCTGACAGATGTCCCCTCCCTCTGTTCCTACTGCTTTCATTCTAAGTGTTCATTTATACCTGGGGTTTCACAATCCTTTCATAAATTCAAATAATTTTATTCAAATAAGAGGACTCAAGACTTGCTTTACACATTGAAAATCATGGTAGGTTAATGTTTCTGTTAGCCAAAATTTTTTATAAGCCTGACTTAAGAACTAAGTGACAATACATAGGATTACATATTTTAAGTGTGGAGGGGGAAAACTCTGACAGCATATCCCAAAGGTCAGTTCTTCTTTTTTTTTTTTTAATTTTTTTTTTAATGTTTTATTTATTTTTGAGACAGAGAGAGACAGAGCATGA